AAACACTAATCCGATAATTTCATCACGAGAATGACAAAAACACCAACATTAATACACCGGAGTTTCAAGTGGGAAAGAAGTGTGAAGTCCAGTGTGCCTAACCGGACTACGAAACATCTGCGAACAACACTTCCAGCTCGGAGAACACAGGAACACCAACATCCGCATCCCGAGTTACAATCATTCCACATTAATTCCAATCAAGTCGCGCGAATAAGCTGTGAATTTCAAAGAAGTCCAAAGCATGGTTGTCGTGTCCGCATCACCAAAATGATAAAATGGTATTTTCACATTCGCTGCAAAATCAGAAAAAAACATTGTTGAAAGTTACCAGTGTCAAGTAGAAATATTAGAGGATTGGGCGCAAGTCGTTGGTTCAAAGGTACCATACACATGATTGGCTATGGTCCTTTTTGGATGACCAAAACAAGCCATGGAATTTGAAACAATTGCAGCTGTCAAATATCCATATACAAAGACACAATTGTACCTACACATACAACCCCATATAGCGCCCCCAATCACATTCAAAGGGCTAGTTAACAGCCCCGTCTAAAACAAATGGTTTCAGGCCCGTATAAGTCTAGGTCCCGAATAAAGGTCAACAAGTCACGTGACCAAAATCAAACGTCATTTTCCATCTGTCATCTGTTCGGGGTAATGTGATAAGATTTCTCACAAAGCAGTGGTTTTAGAAACGAGAAAAGGACAACGATGTGGGCCAGATAAGGGAATGCGCAGATTAGTTCTGCAGTATCTGGGTGGCCGAAATTCCTGTAACGGTCTACTACGAACTTTACGCAATGGGTGGAACACCAGCATGACGTTCATATTGGGATTTGTTTACGCTGGGTTTGAAATCACTGCACGGAGAAATGCGTGAATTGTTTCAGTGGTCAGCTACTCAGTTTAGTGCATACGATACTGTAAGTAAAGCCGCCTAAACATGAAATCAGTGTACGATGTTCCACNAAGGAGCATACACAAAATAAGACGGCAGGTTCAGCCTATTTATCCCTGAATAGCCATATACTGGCTTGGATGTAAACACAAAACGTTACTGCAATGCAAGTTTTACCAATGATATGGAGCAAGATCCTTTTTTGACCTCAACTGATGCGCCATCCTCCCTCGAGGACTTCAGAAGAAAACAATTGGCTTCAATTTACTATGATTGTACATTTATTCTGACTATTGTATCAATTCGATTGATTTTATGCTTCTTAGTTAGATTACTGATAGCTAATGCTCCTACTTGTGTTCTGATCCACGATAGAACGTGATGCAATACCTAAATGCTACAAAATCCTAATACTGGAAGACAAATTTTCAGAATTATTAGCTTCAGGTACACCTACAGATTCGTAAGAAACTAACATTTTGATGATTATTCACCTCCCGAAGTCTAAAAATGGATGGTCGGAATACGATAACCTTTGACTCTTGCTGAATTAGAAGGAGAACTGGCATTTGTTTGTCCACTAGGATCCGAATTGGGACACATTAACGACAACAGAATTGACGTAGAATGTTATGTGGTTTGACGAAGAATCTGATGTCAAGTACATTTCACTCAGGTGTTTCTCATCAGTTGTCACATGTGTACGATTTATTCGTATGGATACCTGTGCAACCGATATAAGGATTTTATCCGACCCGTTGGTAGGATTTCACCTAGCACCGCTGTGCTTTGTTCCCTGCTCTGTTTATAAACAATCACATGCGTTAATTTGGTTGAGTGACTGACAAATACGGTTTGATTTTATGTTACCCAATTTGCTTACTGAATTGTCCAAATGGAATGATGGCAAATGTTGCGAACCCTCCATTATTTTTACTGTGCCATCCTTGTTCACTTTAATTTACCTTTGCTATGCGTCACCGAGATAACTTTGTTTATTTTACGTCCTGAGGTCCAGTCCCTTAACACTCGTGTTCTTTCGGTGCCGAGAACCGCGTTTGGCGTCAACCGTACACGACATTCATGGTGTGCAGATTCCGGCACACGATAAACCTGCCAAGTGTTCACCGGTATACGTTGAGCCATTGATCGTGACACTCATTTATTCTCAGTTGTATTGGTTTCTCAAAGAAAGGATCGCTGGCTGCAGGCTAGTCAAAGCATTTGCTAACCGACGAACATCAAAATTCGTTTAACGTGATTCGACATCCAAACCTACGAACAATAGTGCTAAGTTCCGACGGTCTCACTACAACAGGATATGGCTATTCTTACTCGTCCTGTCGAATGCCAGATGGATATGAACTCACAATGGCAACATAGAGAACAAGATCTTTCTCAGTTATGGAATGACGGATGCATATGACCCAAGAAATTTGAAGCCAGTTGTCATCTGTCTACCTCATACTATTCTCGTATAGTTGTAACAACGAATCCGTCCGATTGCGTGCTCTTTCATACACAGCAACAGAGAGGATCAATTCTGCATTAGATTGGAATTACTCGTGTCTGGTTTTCGGGGGAAACAAATGCCGTTTCAGTGCGACTCGAATCGATCACACATTTCAAACCAGTGACCGGTGTGCATACCACAAAGCAATCTTTAGCAATCTTTGATGCCCAAAGAAGTAGGATGAAATAGGTAATTCCACACTATACACCGACCGATCGAATCAGAAGCAATAGCGGTTCAGTATCAAGCTCCGCAGAACATTATCCGAACATGGTCGTCCACTTCTGAAATCGCTCGAATGGCCCAGCGATGCCACTTGATGGATAATGGTGAAACGCGTTGCGCAGCGATGGTCGATCCTTCGTCTACTTCGGAAATAATGCCCTACAAGCGAATATAACAACGTGCTTGACCAGGCCACTCACCATGCCATTTGTCTGCGATCTAGAATGAAAATCTATTCTGCATGGAAGAAAGATTGAAAGAAATTGTGACATTTAAAACAGTTATTGATCAGAACCGGTATCCCATCCCGATTAAATCATCCAAAAGAGGTAAGCATACACCATATTTTTATTGGTTAAGAATAATAATATTAATAAATGGGAATAAGATCT